CAGAATACAGTTTTAGAGATATTACAGCAACACAGATTATCATTCGTTGTCAAATTTCGTGTTCTAATAGACAAATAGCTTTTCAATTACTTATTCACTTTTATATGTTGTCGTAGATCTCTGGATATTTTATATTGGATTCTGTACCAAGCGCTGTCAGCGCGTTGTCAAATATTCTAAACTATGATGTCAATGTAATTTCAGTTGAACTTGAAGATCGTTCTGCCATCATATTCTGGAAAATTTTCTGTAGCTAATGCTTGTCTATTCGAACGGGTTTCATTGCTAAAATATCTCGAAACTTTTTATCAGTATGAAATTATTACATAGAAAATTTGCGTTTTTGCGTATTTTTTACAATAGACGTCTTACGTTACTGCACTGAATGAATCGGTCAAACTGACTCAAACAAATAAGCTTATTAGTTTGAAATCCTACAAAAATGCTTGAGTTTTGTATTTTCTAGTTTTTCGTGATAGAATAAGATCTTCAATTTGTGTATTTTGTTTGAAGAATCTCACTTTAAAAAGATTATAACCGATTTTACCCAAGTGAGTTAATTTGATAAAATAATTCAGCTTAAAACTTTTCCTTTAAAAAACAGGTTCCAAATCAAAATATATAAAGAAGGCTTATTGTATCGACACAAATATTTCTTATGTGACTTTACCGTTCTAAACTTTTCTGTTTAGAGCCAAGTGATGGCTCCGCTTCTTTCTATCACATCAACACTTAGGCAGTGCATTGTGATATATTCGCTTCTTTCAAATTCAGTTACATATATGAACATTCCTTCATAAATGCCTTTTTAGAAATCGTAAAATCAATATAAAAGAATTTGAGCATTGGTTTCCTATATAGATCATCCAAATTAAATAAAAATATAGTTGTGTTCACGTGAATTATAAATGATGAGAAGGAAGATCTTTTTGAACATTTCAAACGTGTATACATCCTATTATATTTGGAGACACTTGGTGTGTTTATGAACAATTTCAAAATTTCATTCTCTGTAAATATTCCTGTGATCCAGGATAGTAGTTGGAACAACGTCATATAGAAATGTCATTATTTCTAGATGTACTATTGATTCAAAAAAGCATTTCGATTTTCTGCACCACTGAAAAGTTTTTTAGAATACAATCTGATGACTTCGACGGACATTCTTCTAGCTATAATTAACGTAAATGTAGTGTTCTGTGTTCTCACTATCAACAAGTAGAAGATAGTGCTAGATAGGGGATATTAGATTAGATTTTTTAAATATCCAAGATTAGGTTATTGATTTTCTTTGCACATAAAAAAGTATTTTATATATTTTGTATCAAATAGATAATACTAAATTCCTAATTAACTAAACTAATTATGAGTTTAGTTTCAATTTAGTTTTAACTAAATTAACTAATAAAGCGATGGGATCATTTGATCATTTAGCATCTTCAAGTCTGAAATGCAATTTCACCTGAAACAGCATGAATTTAGTTGGGTTGTACTTCCAGCCATTACATAATGATGTTAAATCTTCGGTCATAAGCAAAAGTTCTTAAGGATAGTTAAAGTTCTCGAGCTCGAGGTTCTGTGAAGGATTATGCTTGGTATGATAACAGATGGATTAGAGTTAATATCAGGGTTGAATTCACCAAATTAGTTTTCCTCAAAAGAGATTGCCTAACCGTCATTCGGTAGCTACTCGTACTAGTAGTTCGCAGATAAATTCTTGGTAACTCGCGCTGATATTTTATATCTTCGGTCGGCTAAATAATTACTGAAGAGCAAAAAGACCCTCCACATGCTGTCGAGAACTACGTTCTTAAAAGTGGACCAAGAAGTGAAGAAAACACAGATGTCAACCAGACACCACACCTTACTTTGTGTAAAATCTTTCTAGAGAAAGGTGTAGAATTTCAACCACCAAAGCATCAACATCTACTAAAACTAAGAAAGGTAACTTAAAATACATGCAGCTTAGTATCATTTGATTATCTTCAACCCAAATAAGTGGCTCCTTATATTAATTCAAGAGACGCAGCAGTGTATCAAGTTAACAATAGTTGAACGCAGTAGACTGCCTTATATGTTGTTAATAAGGCTTTACAAACCTTATAGCAAATTTGACAACGTTCGTTGACTCATCATGTGGGATCTGCAACCTTTGGAATGCTTACTTTCTGTTTTGGAGGAATTTTTGAAGAAATGAATAACTTTTTTGCCAGCTAAAACATCCGCTTCAGCTGAGAGTTTGTTTTGTCGCAACTGAATAGCTAATTCTACATAAATAGAAGATGTAGATATTTCTCTAACAGTATGAGATGTGGTCTCATATCGGGTGTCAAAAAAAGTTTGAGTTTGTTATGGGGAAAATATTACCTAGTTTGTACTATATAAATATTTTACTAATTTGTAGCACGTAAGAGAGATTTTCCTTACTCTTTTAAGAGAGATTTTCCTTACTCTTGTAAGGAAAATCTCTCAGCCACTTATCAAGAAGACAAAGAACATATACCAGTCCTTTCAGTATCTATAAATTCAATATTGACTTTCACGATATCAAAAGCATATTAAGTTTATAACAGTTCGTCATATTTGTAATTTCACTCTGAACAGCATGACTTTTGTTTTTATGGAAAAATATCTTATTTTGGGTCAGGTTCATCTACGAGTAAAAGTCCTGTTCACCTCTACATAACGGTGTAATAATGCAACTTATGAAACTTAATATTTAATTTAGATTGAAAATTTTTTATATTCTAGCTTTTCATGAAACGTAGTTTCAACATAACACATATTAGCAAAGCGGAATGCTTAGAAGCCATTGAAAATTTAGATATCAACAAGAGCCTTGGCCCGGATGGTATACCACCAATATTTTTGAAAAACTGCATTTCATCCATCCTCCAACCGCTCCATGTCATCTTCAATAAATGCTTAATTGAGGGGAAGTTCCCCTCAAGATGGAAGGTTGCACAGGTTGTTCCGGGGCACAAATCAGTCATAAAAGCTATGTAAAAATTATAGTCGTATTCCACTATTATGTGAAATAGGTTTTTTTAATTCCATATCAACATGGTTTTTTCTCTGGTCGATCTGTTGTGTCAAACTTGCTGCCTTTCGTAGAGCGGATATTGAGGAATTTCGAGGAAGGAACATCTGTATGTGTAGTATACAAGGTTTTTGATAGGTCTACCACTCATGACAAAACTGGAAAATTTCGGGGTGCATGGGAATCTCCTGGGTCTTCTGGCTTCATATTTGAACCACCGAATACAGTATGTGAATGTAAATGGATTCAGATCAAATTCATTATCGGTAACATCAGGTGTACCACATGGTTCACATATTGGTCCACTTCTTTTTCTTATGTTTTTGAATGATATTGGCGAATGCTTTGGATATACCGATATAGATCTTTATGCGGATGACCTCAAAATATTGAAACAAATAAAATCCCTCAACGATTATTCTCTTTTACAGTCCGATCATAATGCATCCTCTGACTACTGCAACTTCAATAAGTTGCAGCTAAACTTGAACAAATGTCATCATATTCTTTTCTCTAGAAGTAAAAATCCTATATCTTCCAATTTGACATTGTCAGGTCAATGTTTGACTGAAAACAGTTCAGTGAATGATTTGGGTGTTAAGCTTGATAAGAAACTAACCTTTGAATTACATATTGAGTGAATCGTCCAACAGGCTCGCAGAAATCTTGGTTTCAGATTACGAATGACTAGGCCTTTTGGTCGTATTGACCCTGTTATAGCCTTGTATAATTCTATTGTGAGGTCCAAGTTAGACTACGCGTCGGTCGTCTGAAATCCAAATTGTGATAAATACACAAATAGATTAGAAAATGTTCAACGGAAAGTCATTAATGCTCTTAATTTCCGTTTTAACAGGTACGTCATGGATTCTCATATGAGAGAGTAACGTGAAATTTTATAGGTTGGAATGTTTGAGTTTGAGACGTGAGTACTTTGATATATGTGTCTCCTACAAATTACTTAATGGCTTGATAGATTCTGCTGCATGTATGAGCCTTATAAACTTCAATTGTTCTCCACATGTAGTATGAAAACGTACTATACTGGTTGTTGGGCAGCGCAAAATAAATTATATGTTGAATTCTTCCATCCATAGATCTTTTTTCTTTTCGAATTTCTCAACTTTTAAGAGACATTTGAAAAAGAGACTATTTAGAGGTCGATAATAGAATAATTATCAGTTTTCATAGAGTTACTCTTCATGATTAATCATTGATCTAATCTTTTTTAATAGAATTAGGTATTTTCTTTGTAGACGATAAGATTCAACTCAATCCATCGAAAACTTTATTTCGATGTGATGTATGAAAAATATCTAGTTATAAGATATACATATTAGATATAACTTAGTAATAGGTAATTAACATTTGTAATATGTGCTCCTCTGTATAGGACAGTTTTAAACTGTCTGCTGAGTGAGCCCTTATATGTAAAAAAAAAAAAAACGTGGTGTATAATATTGTATTCAAAAATGAATATTATTGAGAATAGTTTTTTTTTGCCATACTGTGAGAAAAATAACTTACCTTGTATAACTGAAAATAAAACACTGTTCTTTATTGATCTACATTGTTCTCTAGACTAACATATTTATATTTTACATCTTTTCTTTCCATATACACATGGCAGTAAATTGATTTTTAGAAATGACTATCAAACAAGGGAGCATTACAATAATAAAATTAAGCATGAGAAAGTAATAATGGTCACAATCTGAAAGTAACTTGATCATTTATTATTATAGATAAATTACATATAGAAATGTCCAACTGTTCTGGACGATCTAGAGTTTTTCCTCACTTCTTCCGGAGCTGAAAGTCCAGTTGAATTTTTATTATAAATATGAAGAAGTTATGTTGATGCATGTAGTATGCACCAAAATCGATAAAATGAAACTAATATATCCAATTTTTATTTATCGGCTGTTTCCATTTGAAATCAACTAAAAATTAACCGCCAGTCTCCGTGGCTTAAGCGGGAGAACATTCTACTATGGTGCGGGAGAACATCCGACTATGGTACGGTAGAACTCGGGTTCGAGCCCCGGTGAAGGCATGGCTATTTGTGTTTGTCTATGATTTAAATAGTTTAAATAATGATAAATTCTGGGTAATGGCCGTTCGGAACCATGTGTTAAACTGTAGGTACATTGATTAAAAAAAATTGACTTGAATTTCTTCTGTTAGTGCTAATGGTTTCAATATTGTGCTTTATTGATCTATTGTCGATTTTATTAGTGAGATTTGGTATGTAGGTACTTATTTCTATGGAATATTTCATCATCATCTTCTAGATTTGTAATTAGAAGAATTGATTTTATTAGTCGTGTACAACGCTTTTCATTGTTAATTTGTCAAGACTTTTGAATTGTTTTTTTTTGGTCAATTGGTTGAAAGTATCCTGTAATTTATAAAATATAAATTTTCATTGAATGTTCTTTGTAATTGCACATCACATGAGACCATTTTTCCCCTCTGCTAATTTGAATTATTTATTTTAATGAACTCTAACTTCTATAACTGACTCGCAGTTGAGTACCAACTCAACCCTTTCACCGCAAATTGTCACGCTTAATGACGGTCGTTCTTGATTAAATTAATATCCATGCCATAAGTAAATCAATTCCACCGTTAAACGCCTTGTTAAATGTTTACAACCTTTTCGTTCAACAAGGTTTCTCGAATTCTATCAATGAAACTGGTTTCAATTGTACAAGCGCTTTCGAACAGGTAAAAATTGGGATTTCAAATTTTGAATTAGAGGGTTTTACGCAGTGAAGATGGAGACTTGGTTTGTGCTAGTGTCTGTGGTGGTTTTCTTACTTGAGATTAACGTCTCTTCAGCAGCGATAAGAGGTGAGTTTTAAAAACGACAGCCGGTGGCGGTTTGCTTTTTTACCTGCTGTCGATCTCCAAGCACGTGTAGTTAATAATATATGAGAAATCAACACTTGAAGTTTGGGGCATTAAAGTTTTAATGATTAGTTATTGTTTTTAATTCATTAAAATTTTCATTGATGTTTTATTGAAACAAAATTCTTATATTATCTATATATATATATATATATATATATATATATATATATATATATATATATATATATATATATATATATATATATATATATATATATATATATATATATATATATAATATTTGAAAAAAAGGCACTGAATTTTGTTATAGCAAAGACTTCACACATAATTCGTTTTTTTCTTTTGTCAGTAGATCATTACAGTGATGGTATTTTTATTGTAATTGCCAATTTATATGTAATAGGCAATAGGTAACCCACGAGATTCAAATGAGTGATATATTTTTTTAAATTGGAACCTCACATAGTTGAGATTTTGTCTACTAATACAGAAAATTTATGAAAGAATATTTATTTTGGGTTTATGTGTGTTTATTGATCTATCTATTGATTTATCTATACCATCATGTGAAATTTAATTTAAAAAATAAATATATCACACTCATTTGAATCACGTGGATTATTTAAGAGTTTTAAGATGTTTCCTCGTGGTGAGGAAGACTAAAAAACTACAGAAGCGAATGCTGAGCAAAAAATATTCTGATTCTCTGAAAACATTTCGTTCGACGTTTTGATGTCCATAGTAACTTATAAAATTCAATTGTTCATTAGTTTTGACAATATTTCGATAAAGATTTTTGCATTAAAAATGGCCTGTGATTGTTGAAATTATCATCAACATACATATATATTTTTTGAAATTAATTTATTGTCTGTTTATGATATTTTACTTTCAATGTTCTTAGCAAGAACAGGCTATTTTCAATGTTGAAAACTTTATTTTCGTTGACGTTTCGTTGTATACCACAACTTTGTCAAATCTAATGAATAATTGAATTTTAGGAATTATTACAGATATCAAAACGTCAAACTCATTTTTTTCAAAAAAATCAAAAAGGCTTTTTTGTTTTCTTAGTATTGAGAGGAATATTTCTGGCTTAGCATACGCTTCGGAATTGTTAGTCTTCTTCACCATGAGGAAACCTCTGAAAAACTCATCGTAGCCAGGTGATTCTAATGAGTGTGATTTATATATTCATACATATAATTACACATAGTTGAGTTTTATATACTTATCCAGAACATGTATAATGATTGATTTATGTGTGCGAAATTGATGGTAGATCATAAAAGAATGAGTTTTGAGATATGATGTTTGGTAATTGTTGTGTTTTCATTTTATGAGTGTTATTTGTAAGGTTTATCAAATCGTTGTAAATAGAATTAAGATGTTTATGTCTGTTCTTTCATTTACTATGTTTTCCAAATTTTTATGAATGTGTAAAAAAAATTTAAAACGAAAATAAAGTGTCAACATTGTAAATAGCCTGTTATTGCTAAAAAGATTGAATATATATATATATATATATATATATATATATATATATATATATATATATATATATATATATTGAAATGAATCATTTTCACTCAATGACAGTACTGATGATAGAAACACATTATTCATCATGATCACTGAAATTAACGTACCCATCGCTAAGACGTGAAACAATTTGAGAAGTACATACGCACACGCAACAAAAAAATATTTGAGTAAAGAACTCACAAATATTGCAATATTTTACAATCCACAAAGAGAATTAGATGAAAATAATCTCATTCCTTTAGCTTCCATTCCAACTTTGAGCACAATTACTGATACCATATAATTCGTAACAACACACCCGCACTAAAGGAGTAATTGAAAATTGTGATGAAAAACAATTACTTCAAAAACAAATGTTATATTCCATGTTCCATGCAATTATTGTAGTAAAAACTTTATATTCAGTTCAATTCACAAATTTGAGGAGAACGGATAAAAGATCATAAATACGCTAATACTCAAATAACTGCTCTTTTTTTTAACTATCTACATAAACACAAAGAAACGAAAATCATGAATTCATCTATAACAATTCCTAAATTTTAGCAACTGAAATTGATAAAAAAGTATCAGGAAATTTTTAAAACGTTTCAAAAAATATATGTTTATTATACTATATTAGTGAAATATTTCGTTAGTGGTTCATTGAGTTTCTTCTGTATTCATAATTCGAGATGAACTTCTTATTATCAGTATCCCGATTCAAACTTTATTAACGAGATTTCCATTCCAAATTGGAACTAAATCTAAATGTCGAGGACTTGAAGTCTGTTAAATACAGTAATCTTAGGATCCACTGATATAATCCAGAACAATCTTGAGGAAAACATCAGAGAACTAGGACTCGTCGAACATCTGTATCAGGAATTACAGAAATCGATGGTTCTTACCAAAGCTAGGACTGTCACAGTTGTAACAAATATATACAAGTACTAGCAATGAGTTGGACTATGTTCAATTTTCCAATAAATTTACCAAATAACATTATTCAAAATAACACTCCACAATCAACAAACAATAATGATATATTTGTCAAGTTTAAGTAATTTACTTAGTTCAGTAGCATCTAATGAAAATATACTATTTCATCTACTACATCCTTTATAGTTTCAGTATATGTTCTTGACTGATCCAAGCTTTCCTGATGATCCTCCACTACTCTGCTTCAATTCTTCACTGTGTGAGAACATGGCAGCAGTAATCACGTAGAGTTCTGTCAAACTGTGACAACACATTTTCCTTAGACCTTTGAATGTTTGTGTCAATGTCATTTTCTAACCGTGTAAAGTTTTTTGATGAAGTAATATTCATCTCTGTTTAAATGTCAGTTAAGGGTTGTGGTTTCTCTAATTTTTTAATGTATTGCTCCGTTTTCGTTTCTTATACTTGTCTGACTTTATTATTTTATCTGATACAAATGCCATGTCCATTGTTATCAATCATACCATTATCTTCTGATTTAACTGCGTTGGTCAAAATCGGTTTTAGTTTTCCACAAACTCCATTTGGGACGTCTCTCACGAAAGATTCTGTTTTTGCCTTTTAAAGAAACCATTGACTTGAAATCTCGTTCCGTAGTTTTTCTCCGAAGAAGCAGTCTGTCTTCCTTTTTATTAGCTTTAACAAGTCGAGTCAAAGTTTCCTGCAAGAGTTTGCATTAAATTTTTCTGACACACTTTGTGCTTTACATTTTCCATCGATAGTCTCTGTTTAGAAGTTTTTCTCTCTAGTAGTAATTTTTTATTTGAAACGCTTATCTGATTCTCTGCAGCTTCTAATTTCTGCTTAAGTTTTTCCACTTGATCACTCCATGTCTGCCTCTCGCCTGAATTTTTATTTATTATTTTTATTCAGTTTTTCCAAATAATCTTATTGTTTCTTCAATAGAAGATTTGTGACTTTGACAACTCACTTTCCTGTGTAATCAACAACTACCCTCATTTCCTGTGTAATCAGCGATTGGATTTTAAGATGCGAGGAAAATCGGTATTTGTTCCTTCGTATTTAGACAAAGCTTTTTCTTCTCGATGATTTAAAGTTTTCAATACGTGATTTTATCTCTGTAATTCATTAGACGGACAACATCCTTGCAAAAATTGAGGTGTGTAACTTTGGAGGGCTTTCAATTAATACGTGAAGAGGTAAGAAGTGTTTGAAATTCGGGATTGTCAGCCGGTAAACAGGCCCACTGACAACAGACGTTTGAACATTTAAAATGATTATTGATAAACCTTCTATTTTTCTTCCATATCTAAATGGTTCAATAAACGTGCAGGAATAAGGGTATCTTATTTGTATAAATTTTTAAACTAAATCTATGTAGAGATTCCAAAAATAAATTTCTATCAATATCTTCACAAATCTGCTCTAAGTTCGAATATAACATTGAATATATAAAAAGCTTGAAAAGCATATTATTATATAAATTCCTTACTAATATTTTAAAATACTTTCATTGGAAAAAAATTTTTTTATGAATTTCATTATTTGGCTTACCATGAGCATAGGTGGTATTAGTACTGTCAAGTAGTTAATGATTTCAAAGTTTTGACAAAGCTACAATTTGAAGACAAACGTTAACAAGACATTTTTTTACATTATTCAGTCTTTTTGATAAATCAATTTCTTCTTTGC